TGATATATATATATATATATATATATATATATATATATATATATATATATATAAAGTTATAATTATATGTATAGAAAATATATCATCCAACATCTCTTCTTTCCATAAAGGGGATGGGTAGGTGGGATAGAGGATAATCTTCCCTTATATCTCCTTTGCGATAACCAATGCAGGTTGTTGGATACATGTTACTGCCACCAAGTCCTTCCAAGAGTTTGTGTGCTCTCATATCTTTTGATCAATATCATATTGATAAAAATTAAGTGTATGTACTTGACATGCATTTGTGAACACACCCACTTGCTCAGTTATAGAAATTGATCATTATTAATCATAACATATTTTCTCTTAGCACTTGCATTGGCAATAGTTTAAAGAGCACTGGATTGATTTCGGCTTTTTAAATATAAACATTAATGTAAAATACCAAGTATATTCAGATTTCAATATGATGTATAAGGCTAATCCTATATGTTTTTTAGCTCATCTAGACAGAGGAAAATAGACACCACTGCTGAATCAAAATGTGCTGCCAAAGATGACAAGAATTCTCAGACAAATCAAAAAGGACTTAAAAACAAAATTAAGACTTCAAAAAGGAGGAATTTGAAAGATGAAGTTGATGTTGCAAATTATGGAACAAAAGGGGATAATCAAGATGTGTGTGACGTATGGGGAACAGTTATCCCACCAGAAATTTTATTAAGAATTTTCCACTTTGCTGTCTCACAGAATAGAAGCCTACCATTCCTATGCAGGTATAAGATGACCAAAAACTGCATAAAGATTAATTCAATATTTCAGATAAAGTTACAAGAACAAGTAAAGACTGGGGTTTACTTTCACATTACATAGAAATAGCTGTGCATCTCCCACTTTCCCACCCTGAGTGTTAGTATGCTGAAAGTGATTTTTCTAAGGCCTATCTTTTATGTCACGTGGCTGTATAGGAAATCACAGGGTAGTGCTGGGAATTGAGAAGAGCTTTTGATAGTTGTTTTCTTTTGTGAATACAGTGTTGTATGACACAGGCAATTGTTATTGAATCAGATATATACTGTCTTCCAGTTGTTAAAACAAAATGTCAGCTCCTTGTGTTTTTTTTTTACCTTCATATAATATGTATTTTAATTGGGAAACTACTTGTAAGTTATGTTTACTACTAATAACAGGTGGATTGATATTTTATTTAGAACTTTGAATAATTTTTTCTTCATCAGTCTGTCTTGTGAGCACTGGTTTGACATCAAATACTAGTAAAATTGAAGTTGGGGCAATAATTTTTTGGTAAATTTGTACAGTTAATGGATCAGTAGACTGAGAAAATTTGGAATCAACAGTTTAGAACTTTACAACGGCACATATTGTTTTGACAGGGCAGCCAGAGTATGTCGGTTATGGAGGAACACTGCCACCCACCCATCACTGTGGGCCACCGTAGACCTGTCATATGGCTGGATCAAGAAAGAGGAGAAGTATCTTCAGTGGCTGTGTGAGCATAGGTTCTCCAGGCTTGAAAGCATCAACCTGGGTGGCTGGGCCAATATTACACAGTCAGGGATAGAGGTGATACTGAATTCTTAAAAAAGTTCATTAGTCTGTTATATGTACATGAAATGTTGAATTAATGCATAATTTCATAGACAATGCTTTCCTACTGTCAAATTTTTGGCTCTATATCAAGTTAGATCACCAGCGCATGACCAGTTTGTCCTGAGGAAGGCTCTTGAGTTGAGCCAAAAATTTGACGGTAGGAAAGCATTGTCTGTGAAATTATTATTTCAACATTTCACGTGATAATGAATTGTTGAGTGTGATTTTAACCACAGAGCAGTCCAAGAATACAGGCCACTGCGAAGAAAATTGGCAATATCAATTTAAAGAATTTAAGGTTGCCAAGATACTGTTGAAATTGTAATTATTTGTTTGTATGTGTGTGTGTCATCATTATAAGTCTGTATTCTCTTTCATTGGATAAGTCCAGTTAAACATTCAGATAATGCTTGAAGGTTGATATTAAGTTAATTATCATAATGTTTCAGTGTATCACCAGTCATTGCCCAGTTCTTGAGAGTATCCATCTCTCTCAGTGTAAGAAGCTAAATTCCACAGCCATTACCACATTGGCAAAAAGTTGCACCTCTTTATCACAAGTGTCCTTGCATTCTATGCCAGTAAGTTTCTGAATGTGTGTCAGATATATTGTCTCATTACACTTACTTTGTAATCTTAATATTTTATAGGACAAATATAATTTAATAAAGTGCGATAAGGCTAATCTAAGTGAAGTATGTGATGCAGTGGAAATCTATTGCTGTGTTTGTGTGATATTCTGAACTTTGTCACATAAGCATGAGAGAGAGAGAGAGAGAGTACTGTATTGTTAAACAACANAAATATAAACATTAATGTAAAATACCAAGTATATTCAGATTTCAATATGATGTATAAGGCTAATCTTATTTGTTTTTTAGCTCATCTAGAAAGAAGAAAATAGACACCACTGCTGAATCAAAATGTGCTGCCAAAGATGACAAGAATTCTCAGACAAATCAAAAAGGACTTAAAAACAAAATTAAGACTTCAAAAAGGAGGAATTTGAAAGAGGAAGTGGATGTTGCAAATTATGGAACAAAAGGGGATAATCAAGATGTGTGTGACGTATGGGGAACAGTTATCCCACCAGAAATTTTATTAAGAATTTTCCACTTTGCTGTCTCACAGAATAGAAGCCTACCATTCCTATGCAGGTATAAGATGACCAAAAACTGCATAAAGATTAATTCAATATTTCAGATAAAGTTACAAGAACAAGAAAAGACGGGGGTTTATTTTCACATTGCATAGAAATAGCTGTGCATCTCCCGCTTTCCCACCCTGAGTGTTAGTATGCTAAAAGTGATTTTCCTAAGGGCTATCTTTTATGTCACCTGGCTGTATAGGAAATCACAGGGTAGTGCTAGGAATTGAGAAGAGCTTTTGATAGTTGTTTTCTTTTTTTAATACAGTGTTGTATGACACAGGAAATTGTTACTGAATCAGATATATACTGTCTTCCAGTTGTTAAAACAAAATGTCAGCTCCTTGTGTTTTTTTTTTTTTTACCTTCATATAATATGTATTTAAATTGGGAAACTACTTGTAAGTTATGTTTACTACTAATAACAGGTGGATTGATATTTTTTTATTTAGAACTTTGAAGATTTTTTTCTTCATCAGTCTGTCTTGTGAGCACTGGTTTGACATCAAATACTAGTAAAATTGAAGTTTGGCAGTAATTTTTTGGTAAATCTGTACAGTTAATGGATCAGTAGACTGAGAAAATTTGGAATCAACAGTTCAGAACTTTACAACGGCATATATTGTTTTGACAGGGCAGCCAGAGTATGTCGATTATGGAGGAACACTGCCAACCACCCATCACTGTGGGCCACCGTACACCTGTCATATGGCTGGATCAAGAAAGAGGAGAAGTATCTTCAGTGGCTGTGTGAGCATAGGTTCTCCAGGCTTGAAAGCATCAACCTGGGTGGCTGGGCCAATATTACGCAGTCAGGGATAGAGGTGATACTGAATTCTTAATAAAGTTCATTAGTCTGTTATATATACATGAAATGTTGAATTAATGCATAATTTCATAGACAATGCTTTCCTACCATCAAATTTTTGGCTCTATATCAAGTTAGATCACCAGCGCATGACCAGTTTGTCCTGAGGAAGGCTCTTGAGTTGAGCCAAAAATTTGACGGTAGGAAAGCATTGTCTGTGAAATTATTATTTCAACATTTCACGTGATAATGAATTGTTGAGTGTGATTTTAACTACAGAGTAGTCCAAGAATACAGGCCACTGCGAAGAAAATTGGCAATATGAATTTAAAGAATTTAAGGTTGCCAAGATACTGTTGAAATTGTAATCATTTGTACATATGAGTCAGTGGGTTGACTATCCTAAATTTTTTAAAGATACACATTGCCATGCTTTTGTTTAAATAGACTTGACAAAAATAATATTTTTCAAAACTAATTAATCAAAACTGGCTCTCATGACTGTGTTTTTCCTGGTGCATTAAATGTGTTATTTATTTGTATGTGTGTGTGTCATTTTAAGTCTGTATTTTGTTTCATTGGATAAGTCCAGTTAAACATTCAGATAATGCTTGAAGGTTGATATTAAGTGAATTATCATAATGTTTCAGTGTATCACCAGTCATTGCCCAGGTCTTGAGAGTATCCATCTCTCTCAGTGTAAGAAGCTAAATTCCACAGCCATTACCACACTGGCAAAAAGTTGCACCTCGTTATCACAAGTGTCCTTGCATTCTATGCCAGTAAGTTTCTGAATGTGTGTCAGATATATTGTCTCATTACACTTACTTTGTAATCTTGATATTTCATAGGAAAAATTAATGAAATGTGATATGGCTGATCTAAGTGTAGTATGTGATGCAGTGGAAATGTATCACTGTGTTTGTGTTGTATTCTGAAATATGTCACATAAGCATGAGAGAGAGAGAGAGAGAGAGAGAGAGAACTGTATTGTTAAACAAATGTTTTTGTAATACAGAGAGATGCCGTAAATTCAGTGGCATTGAAGTGTCTAGTGCAAGAAGCAGGGGCCCGTCTCACACACTTAGACCTCTCAAGAAATAACCTGCAGAACTTTAAATCTGTCTTTTCTGCAATAATGGTAAGATGCTGCTAATGTAATGTTCATTCTTATTGGGAGTTAAAAAGGGATAACAACTTTTGGCAGGAAAAGTGCTATGTATCAGAATTTCCTGGGGTAAACAACTATGTTTCCATACTCACCAATGGATAATGCATCCATTCAGACATTCATAGTTGGTCAATTGTTTTTTAAAGTTTTTTTTTATTTATTAATTTTTTTTTTTTTGGGGGGGGGGGTAATAAAGTTTTAAGAGATTTTTCTGGAAGGAAGCCATCTTTGAAGGTCCACAAGGTCCAGTGGCAAGCAGAAATATGCTCATCTGGAGCTTTCAGCAGCAGCTGTCTGCCTTCTTCAACAGGAGGCTATTCTCAGTAACTGTTCTTGAAACAGTTTTTTTCTCAGTTAAGGAGATGTCAAATAATACTGAAAAGTAGTGTGGAAAAAAATGATATAATGCGCAATTCTGCTTGGAATGCAAGTTCTTTGACTATTTAGATAACACTCATGTATATTTGAAATGCAGGAAGTTTTATTTATTAATAAGTGATGCGATTGATTAAAAAAATTTTCAACTTGTATTTAATATCAACATACTTTCAAACAAAGATTTCTCTTTTCATTTGTAAGGACAGCTGCATTATCTTACTTGTTAAAGGGATAATAACTCTTCGTTTTGGCCAAAAAAATGAATTTTCCTGGAGTAAACAACAATTTTCCCATACTTACCAAAGGTTAATGAATCCATTTTTAAGTCCCTGTTTTTTTTTCTAAAAGGTTGGTTTTTTGTTATTATAACAGAGTATAGCCCTCAATGGAGGTCACATGGTCTAAAGACAAGCTCAGATATCAGAATAATACTAATAGCTATAACTGCCATTTTGGTGGTACAACAGAATATATTATATTTCTATGAGTTGTTCACAATGTTTTTATTGTGAAATATAGATCTCATATGAAGAGTTATTATCCCTTTAATTGAAATTTGTAAATCTTGTTTTGAATATCAGCATACTTTAAAACAAAGGTTCCTCTTTTCATTTGTAAGTGCAACTGCTCCACTTAAGTTGTGAGATTAATTAAATTATCTTGTGTTAAATATCAGCATAACTTACAAAGATTCCTCTTTTCATCTGTAAGGGCAACTGCATCAACCTCACTTCATTGGACTTGTCCAATGTGCTGTTTTCAATGGAGATACTGACAATTCCAATTGAGAAGTTTCAAATGTGCTGTCCCAACCTAAGAAATGTCAGTCTTGCCAATTCTCCTCTCTGTGCGTCATATGCTACAAAGAAAGCTCAGGTAATTGGAACTGCTGTCCTAACCTCTTGACTTCTTTTCATCACTGCCGGGGTTGAACTGTGTAGATGCTGTCCTTGTCCTTATTCATTTTTTAAAATTAATATCACTCATAGATTAGCAGAAATGTGTTTGTTATAGAGAATTAAAAATTATTGTTTGATAAGAATAATGACATTTAATTTAAATTTTGTTTAATCCAAATTTTAGAAATTGTTCCTGACAAATTGATTTTAATTCATAATTTTGCAAAAAATTATACAAATAAGTATTAAAGTATTATAACATTATTTCAGGCAGATTCTCAGGGGTTTCCTCAACTCAATGCCCTCAGTGTTGCTGTGCACACTGCTTCACAACTTCACAGCATAGGCCTGGGTATAGATGATAGATTTATTAGCAGGTACTGTGAGTTCAGATATATCAAACACATAATTGGCATATTTTAATGATGTGATAAGGGAAATATTTTCAGAGAGGTGTCTGTTTTTGAGTGAAAGTTTATAAGTGAAAGAAAACTTTTGTACTACTTTTAAATTAATGCCTTCTGTGGAAGCAGAATTATTTTCAGTCTCTGGCACAAAGAAAATGTTATTCTGTGTCTAGCTTTATCCTTTCACAAAAATCAGTTTGTTAGACATTAAATGCAATGTTGACATACACATTTTACTAGGGTAACCCATTTAAAGATTTATCAAAAGGAAATTACAACTTGAGTATTTGGAGGTAAGATTTCTTTTCATCATTATCAACTTTCACTGACATCTATCCCACTCATATTTTTATTAAAGGATGCTGAAAACTTCTGATGGGTTGAAGCTCCTAGATGCCCGTGGGTGCTTCAGGTTGACAGCCCAATGTCTCCATGAATTGCCTGCCACAGACGTCAGTCAGCTTTTCCTCTCACAAGTTTCTGCCAAAAAGTTCGAAGAGCTTCATCTGCTAATGGACAAGGTGAGATTTAAGAAGTGCGCGCGTGCACACACGCACATACACACACACGCACATACACACACACACACACAGTCATGTTACATTTTGATACATGTAGAATTCCATACCTGTTTCTTTAAATCGGCCATCAGATCATGATGCAAGTTTTCCTTTTTTCATAAACCGAGATAAACAAATTCAGAAATGTTTCTTTCTGTACATATACACAGTTTGAAATCATTGGATATGGCTCTGATGTATAGTGCATTTGTTTTAGTCTAACCACTGTGACACTATTTTCAAAAGAACCAATGAAAGTTACAATTGAATCAAGCACAATATTTACAAAGTGCCTATGAAAGTTACAATTGAATAACACATAATATTAACTAAGTCCCTATAAAAGTTAGCATTCAGTACGGTTTGAATGATTTCTGTAGAGCAGCAGATGTCAAGATTTCTCCATGCAAACAGACCCTTGTTATATGTATATATATATATTTATGTGACTTCATTTCAGTGGCAGCACAGCATTGTAGAACTGGATATTTCCTGGAATGGGTTTCCTTGTAAAGTCCTAGACAATGCCCTAGAATGCTTAGGAAAAAGTCCTTCTACCTCAAAACTGGAGACTTTGGACTTGAGTGGAACTTCAGTTGCCCTAGCTACTGTACAGTAAGGCTTTTCTTTATAATCTTTCAAAGCTTTTATAATTTAGTTTCATGAAACAATTTGCCTTTGTGTAATTTTTTCATTAAATCAGATATATTTGGTTTGGTATTTAGTTCATTAGTTAGACACAAAACATTTATATATTTTGTCTCCATTTTAAATTAATATCTAAGGTTTTTTATAAAAAAGGGTCAACAATAAACATTGTTCCAAGGTTACATACCAGCAGTGGCTTAAAGTTACTTTAAAATAATTTTTGGGTTCAGAAAACTAATACTTACTTTTTCATTACAGGTTAGTGTTGAGAGGCTGCCCAAAACTTGTTTCCATCAACCTGACCTCTTGCCGCGGTCTGCCGCGCGGTATGAAGAGATTGTACAGTAGCATTCAGGAAATAGCAAAACTCAAGGAAGATCTAAATGAACAGCATGCATAGCAGGAACATTTATGAAATTATGAGTCTGGAAAAAAAACAATTGTTTTTTAAAGGAAAAAGGCTGTGAATTCTTATAGTTTAAGGTTTTTCAACTTTTTATTTAAAACGAGAAAGAAAATGAAGAAACTCCAAAAATTGGAGAAAAAAAAAGAAGAAAACACTCACTTAAAGACTCTACACTACTCTGACTTTTTAAGATTCTTTTTACCACTGAATATGTTTATTTTTATAAGATATTTTAGAAATGTGTTTGTTGTGTTTTGTTTGTTGAAACATAATTTGTACAGCAGCATGATCATGTGACTATATACATGTAATATAAAAGCTATATATTTCATGTACATCATTCAATACACGCAGGTAAGATCTTTCTTATAGATTGTAATTATGACTGTTGAAGATGAAGAAGAATAAGATGCCACTTGATTTTACTTTTATGAGAAAAGTTAATTTAGTTTTCCTCTTGTGAGATGGAATATCAATGTGTATAGTTACATCCTTTGTACTTAATTCAAAATGTTTCTTTAAAAAATCAAATTCCAACCACACTGTATTCCTACATGTAATAAGATTTCAAAGGTAGGTATACCAGGTAGGTATAACAGTATACAAATTATGTTAAAAATGTTTGTTAAAGAAATAAATAATAAAATATGTGCATTGCATTTCTGATTGGGTCCTACATATGGGAGGCTATGCTTTAATGCCTTATATATTAGGTATGTTACATGAAGAAAGTTGTAGAAAATGTATCAGTTCAGAGTGAAAGGTACTTTTCCAATGATACCTAATTGAATCGCTCCAGAAAGTGTTAATAAGAACGAAAAAAAAAAAAAAAAAAAAAAGAAGGTGTGATGTCCCAAAGTTTTCAAAACTAAATTGGTTAAAACTGGTTAAAAATGAATCTCACCTCTAATGGCTATGTGGCAATATACCTCATTCTAGACCTACCGATATAAGTAAATTGTACCATGTGATGAACCTGATCCAGTGTGAGGGACTGTATCAAATACACAAGATCAAGATCTACTAATTTCAGCAAAATTTTTGCACTAAATATCTTTTGTCTTGGATAATAATTTACATGTACCATAAATGCCAGGTTCATGCATCACAAACATGCTAAACAGGTTAAAGTTTTATTTAAAATCACTGTCCTCATGATGTCCTCATGGATGTGGTACACTAGTAGATCTCTCTCTCTCTCTCTCTCTCTCTCTCTCTCTCTCTCTCTCTCACACACACGCACACACACACACACACACACACACACACAGTCTTCTAATTCATACTCGCAGTCCTTTCATGACACACACTTTTAAATAATTTGAAATGTGGACTTTACATTGTAGGGGCCATGGTAAAAAAGGATGTCTGCATATATCGACTGTTTACGCAGAGACAACAGTGAAATTCCAAACCCATAGTGTAATAATGCAATATTTTAAATAATTATTCCTCTGTTCCTCTGGCAATGACCAAAATCTTGACTTAAATCACGTTATTCAAACATAATAACGTTTTTATAACATTTCAAAGAAACATTTTAATAACATTTTTGAAAATTATTGATTGCTGGGATTGTAATTGGCAATGTTATTAAAATGTTTTCGTAAATGCTATAAAAATGTTTTCATAATGTTTGAATAACGTGACTTTGTATGATTTAAAAAAATGTTGATAACACTGAAAGTCATATTTTACAAGAAATACATTGTAAACCACTATGAGTTTGTTTAAATTTAAATGTATTTATTGTGAAATATGACTCAAACAAAAAGTTATTATACCCTTAATTCTCTTTATTCAAATTATATCTCCTTGCTGGGTACTTTTGAGCTATAAATCATCTGTAATTTATTTATTTATTTATTTATTTATTTATTTATTATTATATGACTAATTCTCATAATAAGTATTGTAAAGGGAATGCTTGATTTATCCAGTCAATTTTCGTAGTTTAGACATTTCACCACACTGCAGATTATGGAAGCGTAAAGAAATTAAACAATAAATGAAAATAATGATAAGTAAATGAAAATGATACTATTGGAACACTGATGGCTTATGTTTTTTTTTTTTTTATATTTTTTATTGCTTAAAAACCCACTTTAGTGACACTAATGCTGTTACATTGTTAATCATAAACTGCATTTTTTTTCAGGGCTTATTACCTTTTCCCAGAACATTTTCAATTTATTTCATTTTTTTATTTCAGAGAGATGTGCAAATAATTTTTTCTTTGTGTTATTGAACATGACATATTAATTAAAACTGGATGGATACAGAATAAATACAAGAAACTCCTTTTTTTACAAAATCTTTGATTATTTTCTTTCTTTTTGACTAAACCTCTTAATGTCTTTTAATTGCACATTTTTATCAAAATATAACCAAAAATGTGAATTAAATGTGTCAACAACATTATAAAAATGTTATGCATAAACATTTTAGCGACAATGCTTTGAAAATGTTATCCAAATGCTATGTATAACATTTCAACATAACGTTTTAAAAACAAAAATGTTTTAATAAAGCTATTTTTAAAAAAGTTAATACGGTGACAACTTTTTAAAAATGTTTTTTAAAATGTTGTGTTTGCTGGGTAACACCTTAACGGTTGTAAGTTTTATTGTATATTTGCGTCACCTATATTTACAAATTAAATGCCCAGTTTAAATGCAATATTTCTGAAATGTTTGGGTGTGGCACGCATGCAAGAACAGAGCTTCTCTTGGCGTGACCTTTGACCTACAGGTAGATACAGCATCAACCACAACCGCAGCCACTGTAGACTACTGCTGGTGCGTGTTCAACTTCAGGTGTAACAAGCAATTAGTGCCGCTACATGAATGTAAGTGACCATTAATCTTCATTTAAGAGAAGCTGATTAATTCTAGCCATCACAAACATTAATTGCCATTTTAAGATTAAAATTTTGGCTTTGCGGTGGGTGTAGCCTTAGTGCACTTTGAAGTTTGAGCCATGAAGTTGTATCTCATCCACCTGTTAGTAGCACACGCTCGCCTGTCGCCTCACTTACTTACTTATGGTTAGTTATGGTGATTTTTCTTACACAGGCCCCGGCAGGTCCTCGTTAGACTCTAAACTTTGTGATATAATTTTTTGTGACTCCCAACGTCTCAAACCCTGCTTTATGTTTATAATGATGATACTGTATGTATATAGAGCACCTCTTGCACACTGCAATACTAATCTAGTCTATTTTTGAAAGAATTTATTGACTCAGCATTCCCCACTAGGTCTGGTAGGGTATTCTAAATGCTGGCGACTCTCATGCATGGTGAAACTGTATTTCCTTATATTAAGTGTAGGTCTCTGCACAAATAATTTCTTAGAATGCTCCCTTAATTGTTTTCTGGGACTTACATGTACATGTAGTTTAATGAAGTCAATGACTACATTGTCATATTTCCCATTCAGTAAATTTTTAAACTTTAATTATATCTCCTTTTTTTCTTCTGCACTCAGATGAAGGGATCTCGAGTCTTTTAAGACTGTCTTGATCCGTTAATAGTTCTAAAAACATTCAATATGGATTTAACCAAGGAGTTATAACAGTCTGTTATAACTCCTTGATTTAACATACCACAAAAGTCTGGAATGTATGACATTCATTTGTTATTTGAATTGAGTTTTAAATTTATAGACCTAGCTATATCAAGGTGACAGCTAGCTGGCTAACTTTCTAATTATGCAGGAGCTGTCTTAATGCTATAATTTAATGTTTACTGACTTAATTGTACCCCCAAGGTTCACATTTTTTTTTGTAATTTAAATTAGTGCACATACTGTATAGTGCCATACATATCATTTGGATATATTCTAAAGCTAACTCAACTAGACCAAAAGTTATGCAGCTTTTAGTGAAACCACAAATGTTTTTTATTCAGATGCCATGTACATTCAAATTTGAGACAAAATTAGCCCTACCAGATTTTTACCCCCAAAATATTGTCATTGTATAACCTGAAATTTGGCAAACAGTATGTACTACAAAGGCAAAGGAGTTGAGCATGAGGACACATTTTCAATTTTGGTTCAGCGTTTTCAAAGTAGAGACATTAACAGCTAATATTGAGCTAATCTAGGTATATCAGACATTGAATTCCCAGATCATAAAAGATTGTATTCTATATACTGGTACTGGTACATGTACATATATAAAAGGGAAAGATAAAAGGCAGCATGAAATAAAAATACTGTCATATCTTCCAAATTGGCAGGTCCAGGATTTTGCTGATTAATGCCCCTATTTCACACAGACCACGAATCCCACGAATGGCCATGAATTGACAAATTTCACGATTCGTGGTTGAATTGTAATCAGTTCGTGAAGTTCTTAACAGATTCGTATATATTCGTAGTCAGTTCTTGCACTTCTTGAATGACCAACAGGAATTAGTGGCAAAAACTTTGATGCCCCTATTTCACACGGACCATGAATCCCACGAATCGCCAGGAATTGAAAATTTCACGATTCGTGGTTGAATCGTAATCAGTTCGTGAAGTTCTTAACAGATTCGTATATAATCGTAGTCAGTTCTTGCAATTCTTGATCAATCGGGAATTCGTGGCAAAAATTTTGAGCTGTTCAAAGTTTTGGCCACGAACTCCCAATTCCAAAAAATCGTAGTGAATTTCTGGACAATATTTGTGTGATCCCAGCCGAATCCCAAGAATATTCGTAACACTATCTCACCTGTATTGTAACTGAATCGTAGAGCGTGTCGAATTAGACCAGAAAATTGGCAAAATCTCACGATTCCAGCCGAATCCCACGAATATTCGTAACACTATCGTACCTGTATCGTAACTGAATCGTGAGCGTGTAGAATTAGATCAGAAAATTGGCAAATCTCACGAATCCTCACAAATCCTGAAATTTGTCAATTCCTGGGGATTCGTGGTCTGTGTGAAATAGGGGCCTAAGGGGGAGAGGTTGAAAGATTATTTTTGTCAGATATAAGCCAACAGGCAAAGAGTTTCACTGCAATGATGATGGCTATAGGGCACAGGGATGAAAAAAAAATTTGCATTTTTTTTACTTGTTTTGCTCATACTTTTTTTAAAAGAAGGAGGAAGGGAGGGATAAAGGGTACCTAGGAAGCTAGGAAAGAGACAGCAGGCAAAGACATTGTACTATAGTAATTAAAAATTATAGCGGGGGGCACAGAAATGAAAAAATAATTTTTTAACTTTTTGCTCGTTATCCTTTTTTTTTTTTGAGGGGGGTCATACATAAGAAGCTAAGCAAAAGATATATATACCAATGAAAGGGGCTCAGAGCTAGGGGATCCTACTGTATATAGTTTTATTTTGCCTTTTAGAAACACTTTGAATAATAGAGATCCTGTGTGCCTGGCCCCATGTTTTTTCAAAAATGTACCCCATACTTTATGACTTTGAAACAGCATTTGGTGAAAAAAAAAATTTTCTGCATTTTAGTATTTTTATTTTCCAGATGGGCACTGCCACAGAAGTGAAGGATATACCCTTTGGTATTGACATGCGAAGACAGTGCTTCTGCATAGATGAAAATCTGGTCCATACTAATAATGGCTCCTATGGAGCAACACCCCGAAAAGTCCTGCAACACATGAGAAGGTGTGAATAGTTTTTTTCAGTGGTAATGAAGCAGCAGTCAGGATTGCGTACACTGTGTTGTTTGTTTACGACAATCATCAAGATGAAATGAATTAGTTAATGTTAATCAGTAATGTAAAGAGATATTATTATTATTATTATTATTATTATTATGAGCTGGTAAAGCCTTATCAGAATTTCATTTAACCAGATGTCAACTACAGAGCAACTTTGTTTTTATGATGAATGAATTCAAACTACATGTAAGAGTGTGGTCAAATTATAGCACTGGGATTAGTAAGGGTTTTAATAAATCAGAGTTCAGGCAGAAAATTAAAAATATATTTACAAAACACACACAAAAAATAAAATAAAATAAAAAAATTGAAGGAAAAGGTAGTTTTAGCCAAAGGGAAATATAAGTGTGAAATAAGCTCATGCCAAAGTGACTGATATGTACAGATATCAGATACTTTTGTTTTATAGAATTATGAAAATATGTTATGTTAAATTATGTTTTAACTTTCAGACTTCAGGAAGACAGGGAAATGCTTCAAGATGTCTTCATGGTAAAAAACCAGCGAGAATATTGGGACGAAAATCTTAGAGCAGTCTGTGACTTTATTGGAGCAAAATTTGAAAATACAGTGTTGATTCCAAATACCACAACAGGTAAGACTGTTCAAAATTTCAAGTTAACACTAAGCTTACAAAACATACTAAGAAATAAAATTGAATGTTGATTAATAAATTGTAAATCAGAGTAGTTCCTGCACTAAGAAAACAAAGTAGAGCAAGCCATTGTACAATCAATGGAATAATTCATTTTACCCTGGCCTTGAACATCTGACTGACTCGTTGATGTGAAAACATGTTTATAAAACCTTTATAGAAAATTAATTTTACTGAGCTAATATATTCACACAGTTCTGGAAAAGTCCAGGTTAACACTTTCACATGAAGTTGACTGGTGTGAGTGCTACCCAAGCTGTATAGTTTGATGCTTTGAAGAGATTCTCGGTGTCTTTTCCTGCAGGGATCAATGCTGTTTTCAAGTCTCTACCTCTACAACCTGGTGACAAGATCCTTATTACCAACCAGACATATAATGCAACCAAGAACATATGCCTAGAAGCCAGCTCCAAAGTGGAAGGTAGGAAAAAATGTTCATTTTTTCTTTGCAGTATAATTTTAGATTTGAAAAAAAGGAAGAAAAAATGTATGTTTTACTAACATGTAAAAGTTATTAACTCTTGTGAACATTTTATTTCATAAGCAATTTAAATTAATTTACTTTTTACAGTGACAGCTTTAATTTTTGTGACAACTGTTTTCTGTTGTTAGACATAACTAACATTGTCAAGGTGATCAAACATCACTTTAATTAATAGGTTCAGGTGTATGTCACATAGACATAACATTCCCCATCCAGTCAACAGAAGAAGTAGTGTCACTGTACAGAGACTACCTAGACCAACATAACAATGTGAAAGTTGCAGTCATAGGTAAGTGCATGTGTACCTCAAAAAGTCTCCCCAGTCTCTAAAGAGAAGATAACCTTTGATGATGATGATACCACAGCTATTATTGTATATAAGATCCAACAGTTTTCTAGGACAATGCCATTTAGAGGGCATTTCCAGAGATTTAGATCGATCTTACTAGATTGACCTAACTCCCTGGGGGTTCACGCTAAATTGCAGTCAGCCGACTGCGCACGGAAGTTAATTACCCCCTTACAGCTTGTAGTAGGCGGGACGGACATTTAAGCTGGATTATCTGACTGTAATCTGGTGAGACTCCCCACGGGGATAGATCGATCTAATATAACCCTTGACTGAAATTTTACTTGGTACACTGTAATGTGCAGCTATTTATAAATGCTGAGTTTGTATATAGTATGTGTTTGTATGTATGATTTCATGAATAAAGGAATCGGCCAAAGAGTGATCATAAAGATATGATTATACTAGTAATATTAATTTTCTATTTATTTATGATTTGTGACATATCATGGTAAACAATACTGAATAATCCTGGTGCATATAGTGTTTGATTTTAGACCTGATCAGTAGTGCCAGTGCTCTCCGAATGCCCCTCAATCAGCTGATCCAGGTTTGCAAGGAGAGAGATGTCATTGTGGTGGTGGATGCGGCACACTCAGTGGGGCAGGTCCCCCTTAATGTTGAACAACTAGGAGAACTGGGAGCAGATTTCTTCACAGGTGATGGCAAGAATAAATTCATAGGTGTAGGAGTTGGTGTGTGTGTGTGTGTGTGTGTGTGTGTGTGTGTGTGTGTGTGATTAGTGTTTGTTGGGGGGGGGGGGGGACCCTCTAGGCCCCTTTCCTCCCACTTTTTCTACCATATTAGTCATGTGCAGGGAGAGCTAATCATATATAAAGGGACCACTCCCAACCCATATGTCTACTAGCTACTATCTCCTTTCACGCATCAACAAAGGTCTGCTCTCTGCCTCTAGCCAGGTGTTGGATTGTCCCCCAACTTTTCCAGTTGTTTTAACTCTTTTTCGACAGTCCTTCTCCATGTGGTCTTAGATCGCCTCTTCTCTGTGTCCCTCTGGTGTCCAGTACATGGCTACTTTTGTGGTGGAATTTGGGTCTTTTCTCAGCATATGGCCAATCCATTTCCATCTTCTTGTCCTGATGACTTCACTTGCCTTTCTCTCTTTGGTTTGTTTTAACAGATCTTCATTTGATATAGTCCTTGGCCAGATCCCCAACCATGTGACACTTTTTTTTAATGGTTTACCCCCCACCCCCACGCCTTGCCACAAGCACTTAAAATTTGCTTCCCATGGACCATGATTTAATTACAGCCATTCAGCAACTGTTTTAGATATTGGAAACAGAAGAAAAGTTGAAAACAGAATATCAGACTTAAGTGATGAGTAAAACGTAGCAATATATGTTTGAAAGTTCTAGCCTTAGATATTCATAACAGGTGCGTGAGTACACCTGACCATTTATTACCATACATAGTACATCACTGATCCACTTGATGCAATCATCAACTGTAAAGTTCCATGCTTGGATTTTTCAGCTTCCCTTCATAAGTGGCTGTATACTCCCAAAGGTTGTGGAGTCCTGTGGATTCATCCCAAACACCATGGAATTGTGCGACCAGCCATAGTGTCCCATGGATATAAACAAGGACTCCACAATAACTTCTTCTTTCAAGGGACTCATGAATGCATCCCCCTGTTCTGTATTGGGAAAGCTATAGAATTTTACAAAGACATAGGGGGCTTGGTGAGAGTTTTCCTGATATGATTTGTATGATCATTTTTCAAACATTCATCAGTTGGTGAAATTTGAAAAATAGTAGTAGTAGTAATTAAGACATACATGTAGGTTGAGATTTTCAGGATTTTCAATTTTAAAAAACCCTTCTTGGAAGAGAAGTCAATGTTGACAGTGAACTCCCTTCCTCAATTTATTGCTGATTTATTTCCCTCCAAAATTCCCCTGGTACATTTTTGACAAGTTTTGAATAGTGGACTTGGAATCACCCATGTTTTGAGATGAACAGAATTTTTATTAGTATGACTTAGGGAGGTTTACATGGAATAGTGAGATTTTCATTTTTGAACAAATTGGCATTTTCAAGATGTTTCTCTGTGGGTTTGAAGCCCAGTGATAGTAACATTCTCAGAATGACCACATTAACAATAGTACATTAAATTTGATGGTGATTAAGCAGTTCAGCATTATGGGATATTACATTGATCTTTAATTTTTGAATAAGTTGTTCATCAGTTTTAGGCTGCTTTGTCATTTGTTTGTTTAATTATTTGACAATTCTGTGCCTCAATTGTTCTTTTTAAAGTAAGAGAATATAAGCATTTTTTGGCATTGATTTCTAATGTATTTTCCTTATTTCAGTCCACTATAGCAAAGTATAACAGTGCTCTTGTGGCAGAGGGAGCAGCACATCTGGTTAAAGTTTGGGGTACCAAACATTTGGAGATCCCCAAAGAAATGGAAGCGCCTTATATGAGACTAATAAAGCTCCCTCCATTAAACAACTATCCACCAAGTGAAATAGTAAACTATCTTTCCTCATTTTCCCCAAAAGAATCTATTTGTTAATATCAATTTTCAAAACTGTCTATATATAAAAAAGGCTTGTGGATGAAAGTAAGTGTCAGTGACAAATTGTTATTAGTTTTACTGCAGCATTCATTTAATTTTTAAGTGAAGTTTTCAGCTTATGTATGTTTACTCCTTTGTAAACTATAGGGATCAATACAAGCAATTAATGTACTACGTGACATGATACTTTGTATTTTCACTTATTTTTCTATTTCAGCTTCAACTTGTGGCAGATATTTACTTCAAGTACAATGTGATAGGTTGTGTGGTGCAGCCAGACAACGGAGACCTCTGGGTCAGAATCTCCGGACAGATCTGGAACACCATGGAGGATTACAAAAAACTTGGAGAAGCGTTGTTGAAACTTCAAGCAGAAGGTAAATGTAGCATTTTTATGTTTAAGAAACCAAATGTGCTTTTTGAGTTTTATTCTAATTGTTCTCCCTCCCCCCCCCCCCACCCCCACCCCATCAATGAATATTCATATATGCAAGATAAATAAAAGTTATAATATTTCAATTTAAGAGTTGGCTTATTTGATGAGTTTGGGCTATTTGGGAAAAATTAATTTTACAAAAATTTAAAAAGATTATTCTAATGTGCATGAATTTGCTGAAAAATAAGATGGGTTGTTTGGCTTCACAAACATTTTTTTTTTTATTATTTTACAGAAAAACAAGCTGGTGAACCACAGTAGATGTGTCACAGAGGGCATACTTTGACAAGGATTGTTTGAAGATGAAACTAATTTGTTAATTCCCAAAGGAAAATGTTCTTAAGAGAAATGAAAGCATTCATTTTCATATACTTGATATAACTGTGATATTATTTGGGAAACCACAAGCGTGGATTTGTTAATCTACAAGTCGGTCTTAGACTGAAGTATCTAATAGGTACAGACCCGTCTTCCTTGAAGTCATAAACACATTCCACTCTTCATATAGTATTATATTCACTGTATTATGTTGGAAATTTAGGTTAAATCATTGCAGAGATTTTACATACATAAATTTTCTATGATTCAAGAAGAGCCCCGATATATCTACTACAATATGAAGTACGAATACAAAGTAAACAGGCAAAGAATAGACATGCACCTGTTATTAGGTATTTATCCTTAGATTCATTTACTTACATAACATATATTATATTTAAAGTCTTATAGGGTTAAACTTTAGTCACTGACCACAGTCAAGTGCCTGTTCACTTAGTTAAATGTTTTACATTCATTGACATTGAAGAAATGTACTGAAAGATTTTAATATTCAGTTGATCTCTGCTATTTTAAGCAGAAGGCAAATTTTAAGAAGCACTTTTGTGATTAAAACCCAGTGATTTTATCAGATGTATTTTTTTTCTTAATATTAATTTGCCCATTGTGCAATACTTGTATTCAGTGGAGGGCTAGGGTTGGTGAAAAAATAAATCCTAAGCCCTTGTTTTCTATTTGAGTTTGCTCAATAAATTTAATCAGTTAAATATTCAGAAATATTGAGAACATCAAGCTTTTCAATATTTCTCCCTTTTAGTCCTTATAATTTCTTGTTGCTTACTTGCTTCTGTGATTTCACGATTTCAAACAAGACTGACCAATACCACTTTTAAAATTGCATGGTAAATTTCGCTATCGAGCATATCCCAGTAAGCGCCAAATAACAGGACTGAAACTGTGATGCAACATTTTTTAGATTTTTCAAAATTGATATAGAAAACTTGTCTTTCCATTATTTTGGCAACATTCACGTCAAATGTGCATTGGCATTTATGATAAAATTTCAGACAGGTCCAGCATCTGACCTAAAAGAAAATGGTCATCAATCCCCAAACCTGTACCCTCTGGGCCAAAATGTTAAAATTCCTCAGTGACGCAATTCATATATATATATATATATATATATATATATATATATACACGACATACATACACTCTCACACCAGACAAGACTTGGTGATTTTTTCTGTGTGGTATAATGTCTTTCCCATTTCTCTGGGTAAGCAAAAATTAAACAACCAAGAGAAATCCATTCAACTTATTTATTTTTCTTCTTTTCAATATTTTTACAGAAAGTAATGTCTTTCAATATCCCTCAAGATCCATTTTTTCATGTACGTGAATCTTCTATCCTGTATCTGTATTATAACATTACAGTAATTCTGTGTAGAATGTTCCCTGCTGATCTTTCCCGCAGGTAGGATGACAGTGAAACGTTTTTATCTGTTTGACTTGGCAACTCTTTCCAGTTCATCCTTCTTCTTGATAGCATAAGAGTTGGAGGACCCCTGAAACAACAAATTCAATTCTCATCTATTAGCGCCAATTGGAATAATATTTTTCCTGTGATACGTAATGTATATTTAGGCTGTTCCTTAAAATGAAACTGAAACTCGTTTATTTTTGTGTCAAACAAGATCCAAATTTGATTTACAAGAAAATGATTCGTTAATTCTGGTCTGCAACCAAGCAAATAAACCTCACATCAACAACATTTGAAATGCTGAAGTAAATATTTGTACACATTTAACACTTAAATGTATTCACCATGTACACATTTAACACATGAATATATTTCCCATGATAAGAGTTACAAAATGTTTTCATACCTTTGCTGCATTAATCAATTCATCAGCTAAGCACTCAGCAATAGTCTTAATGTTACGGAATGCGGCTTCACGTGCCCCCGTACACAACAGCCAGATGGCTTGGTTGACACGCCTCAGTGGGGAGACATCAACGGCCTGACGCCTTACAGTACCAGCACGTCCAATACGTGTGGAGTCCTCCCTGGGGCCACTGTTGATGATGGCGTTTACCACAACTTGGAGTGGGTTCTGAGGGGGGAGAGAAAAAAAGATCATGTAGACAAAGCTCTAGCTCGGTCACTTAAAAAGCTTATTTTTGCAATGAGAAAGAAATTCTGACATAAAAAGGGACAGTGTAAATTATATGCCAAAAAGATACACTTCAACCCAATGTGAAAATATACTAACAGTGAAAGCCTCTCCTAGAATATTGGAGACACCATGCAGAAAAGAGGTACTTATTAGTATAATCAGTATATGTTAAACATTACAGAAAAAAAAACAAACAGAAAACTATATATCCTATATATTACCTCTCCAGTGAGTAAATAGATGATCTCAAATGCGTGTTTCACTATGCGCATGGCCAAGAGTTTTTTGCCATTGTTACGTCCGTGCATCATGAGAGAGCAGGTCAGGCGTTCCACGATGGGGCACTGTGCCTTCCTGAACCTCTTCACCTGGTAACGGCCACCAGAGTGGGGCACAAACTTGGCATACTTCTCCTTGACAGCGATGTAATCCTAGAAGAGAATTGAGAATAAATGACAAACTGCAAAACATAATAAAGCAACTATGTAAGTCAAAACTCCCAATTATAACAAATTCCCACTTTGTATTTTCATTTATTTTATCGTTATTATTTTCTTTTTTTTTACATTTTAGACTTTTACATAATTTAAATTTAGAGAAGCTTTCAAGTAAAAAACAATATATTGCCCTATTTTTTATTTGAAACAGCAGATGTGGGTGGCAAGCATCTAAAAAGCAAATGATTTTCAGAATTATAACACGTTTTCAAGTTAATGTTGTAAAAAGATAAAAAAAATTGTTACAGTTGGTAAAGTTGTTTAATTTTAATGAAACACATCTGCTCTGCCGGACAACTTTCATCAGAATGTTAACTGTTCTTACACAAATTCTGAATGAAATAAATAATAAACTATCACTTATCTGAAATGACATGCAATGTTACTTACTGTCAAGCTGATGTCACTAACTTGGACATCTTCTGATGACCAGCGACCGAAGAGCTTGATCTCCGGAGCTTCTGCTACAGCAGCCACAGGCGCAGCAACCTCGCTATCCCAGTTCTCCATACTGAGAGCTGCAGAAAACAAGACATACTCCATGAATGAGACTGGTCAACTTGGAAGTTTAAGCATTTTAAGAAAAAACAGTGACATCGACTAATAACTTAAGGTATAATTTGCATCGACTTGAAGGGACATAATAAAATGTTAACATCCATAAATACTGACAATATTTATAACTCTTGGCCCTGCTCAAAACTGTGTCATTACCACTTACAAAATGAGAAGAATGCACATTTTGGCTTTACCAAATAATCTGTGATTTTGGCAGGCTTATATGATTAAGAAAAAAAAATTATGATTAATGCTTCAAAAACTGAATAATCAGACGACTCCCTGTTCCTTTTCTTCAGGTCTTATACGAGTAACACTGCAATTTTCATGGTTTTTCACAATTTAGTTATGTGGTGTCTTTGATTAATGTCACTGCTGTTAATACTAATTTCTTTTTCAACTTTCATTACTGTTATTTCGTTGTCCACCCCTGAATGGGCTCGAGGGGCATTTTCCTAACACATTTCACACCAAGTAAAAGTAAGAATGAGACAGTAAACTGCCATTTGTGGGCTGCTTTAATCAAAGTAAAAAGCTACTCCCTCATCTAGGTGGATTATACATAATAACTTTTGGAGTTCGATTTTAACACGATTTCACATGGGCGCAGCCATATTTGATTCTCGGCAATAATACAAGGTTCGATTTCTGTATCAAATTAAATAATCATTGAACAGGTTTTCGATTACAACATCACAAGAGAGAATTCTTTGGTTTTTATTTTGTATACTAGCAGACCGACAGCAGTAACGATTACACACGTTTGGATATATTGAGCATTTTTTCAGACCATAGAGAAGCATCAAGTACCTGTTCACTAGCCTTGTAAAAGAGGCGGAAGAGGGTTTCCTTCGGCTAAAACACGGGCTCCGGAAGTCAAAGAAAAATTAGGTCAAGTTTGCTGACAGAGGTAAGCAAGTACTGTACTGTGAACTGATATGGAGGTTTTTCTTTAGAAGGGAGGGGGTGGTGCACGGGATGGGAGTACAGCTCAGGAAATTTAATGCAATAGACAGTGCCTGAGATATAGGTATGCAATATCAGTCGGTGTAAATACAGTACCCTCGCCATCTTTGAAGTGTTTTTTAAATTATAAATAGAGGACAGAAAAAATCAGCTGATCGTCATTCATGACTCGGAGTCCAATCTCAGTCAATGCATAAATTGTTTCAGACTTTAAATTAAGCACGGAACTAAGGGCATTTTTTAGATGTGCCCTGTATTTTCATAACTTTTGACGAACTCCATTTCTTCAATTTATTATTCCTAAATTTACTGACCTCTCTTTTTCAGAATTGAACTTGAGGTGCTGCAGCGTTTAACGATGCCACCAGTGGTGCTTTATTGGTGCTGTTGGAACTGGTGTTCTAGTGGTGACTCCAGCAATGGTGCTTTAGAATATGCTGCCTGTTGGTAGTGGGTGTGAAGTGTTTGTCTGTGCCATGATCAAGAATGGGTCGAGCTCCTTGGGTAAGTGCATTTTTATTTTTCTTTTGATTCTGACACTGATAGATTTGTCTTGAAACCCTCAAAGCATTCAAGAATGGATCTCACTTAAACACAAAATACCTGTAAATATTTTGATGAGACTCCTGCTCTGTATGTTATTTTTTTATGATTTTGATTTTTGAATAGAAAGGCAACATGGAAATGCAAATTTATTTTAAAGGTATTTAAAATATGTGATGTATGCAGCAGTTTGTAGAGACAACTATATGTTTTGTGTATTGTGTCACTAGATGATAATCTGAGTACTAGTATTTATATATGTTGCATGTATTCACACAGGGATGTTTATTAAAATGTTAAAAAAATCAAAAGTTTATTATTCATGTAAAGAAATGCTTTTTTAATTTTTCCAGAAAATTGCCCATATCAGACCACACCACCTGTTACTGGGGACTGTGTCTCTAGCCATCTTCTCTTGGCTTCTTATAAGTTGTTATCTGGACTCGGCATCCCACTGTGAGGGCTGGATTTACCAAGATTTTATAGTAAGTATGTGTTTATGTTTACATATATGTATATATATATATATATATATGTTCTCTATGTGTAAATGAGAGAAATAAATGAATTGTAGATTATTGGAGGTTAGTGATGTTGGCCTAAGGCTTCTTTTAAGGATTTTATGGACATTCCTTTCCAGAGTTGGATGGCAGTTTCTCTTTATTATATTTTACCAAAAGATGTGGCATGTATTATGACTTACTGATGATTCAGAACCAATTTTAATTCATTCTTGCCACTATGGATGTAGAAACAGAAAGAGCTTTAGATAAGCTTTTGATTTTATTTATTTATGTAATTTCTTGTAAGCAAGCACATAACAGCCCAAGAGAAAGTGCAATAAATAATACTGAAACATAAAAACAAAGAATATGGTGTTTTTTCCCAGTGTGACCAGTATCAGAAAATGACGGTTGGTGGAGAGCTATGTAAAGATCTTTGTGAAGATGGCAAGCTGAAGATGGGGACCTGTCAGCTAAATTCTAAACATGGTGCTAGTGTGGTGAGTGATAAAACAAACAAACCAACAAACACCAATAAGGAGACTGATTGGTGGTGAGTCAAGATGAGAAATGTTTATGACTCCCTCTCTTAAAAAAATCAATTTTTCCAACATTTTATTACTGCAAAATACTTTTGCTGATGTAGAGTCAAAACATGTTTCACAGGTAAGATCATATTCAGTCTCTTTTTAAAACAATTTACCTTTTCATACCAAGAGTTCATTTGTTGTAACTTTTGGCTAACATTTTCATAATCAATACATTGCATTGCCGTTATTGTACATTTCTGTGTATGTTGTAAAACTCACCATGTTATATAAGGTGTTGACTTCCCTTTCTCCCAGCGTATCAGGATGGTGAGGCTTGTGGTTGAGGCAGTCCTGGCAAGCAGTTGAGAAATCCATGAATGGTGTCGATTTTCTCTTCATTGTCAGTAAAACTGTATCAGTTACTGACTTTCACATGTGGTTGAAGAAAATTCCGGTATAGAAGGGCTTAAAAAAGTAAAGAGAGGGGCATTCCTCAGCAGAGACTGATGTTAGGTGCAGGGGTATTTGATAGAAATCTAAAATTATGCGAAAAAAATTCTTAACTTTCATTTTTATTGCCTCTCAGGAATTCAAAGTGGACAAGAAGGTGATCAAGGTTAAGAGGGACACCTTCCTCAGCATAGTGGGAGGAGTGCGAGACGGGGACACATTCAACATGCCCACCAAAGGAACAAGCATGGAGAGTTTTCGCCTCATGGTCAGTTCATTAGTAGTCAGCAGACTGGGCGGTGATGACCATCTGGAGTTAGTGACCAGAATACTGGACAGGGCAGATGTTAATATGGATGGGAAGGTATATGGAATTAAGCTGAATCATTAGTGAATAGATACATGAAGGGAAGAGTCATAGAAAAATTCATACTTAATGAGAAGAGATCTCTCACTGCCTGGTGGACATGATTCTTGTACAAACTTGTGGTTAGGGAAGTAGTGATATGTTACATGGTTATAAGTGTCTGCCAGTTTTGTTTTCTTATGCTTGGTGTTTACATACAGACATTGTAAATGACTTTTGTCCATTTTAGCATGTATTTTGATAATATTCACCCCATGTGTGAAAAACATTAATTTTGTTTTACTACAAATATACTTAAGGGTTTATTAAGTGAAAATGTGTGTTTCTTTCAGAATCAACATGATTTTTTTTATTTTTTTATTTTTTAAGAAAAGTGATTGGTGTTTGGTTTTTGTTGTAGGTATTGTGTATGGCAAAGTTTGCCACATAAATGCCAGTATTTTTGTTTCACTTTAATTTTACTGAATCAGTAGCACTGACTAAAATACTGCCTCCTTTTCAGGTGTCACTTGCAGAAGCCAAAAGTATATGGAGTCTTCTACAGAACAGCGATTTCTTCATTTCCTTCATTTTTCAAAACACAGAATTTGTGCCCAAAATCCAGAAATTCTGTGGCAATATATTTGCTGTAGAAGAAGTTCCCCACACATATTTATATGACAAGGATAACCCATCATATCTGAGGTGGATATTTGCTAACTCATATCAGTGGCTACAACCAAGCTGGCACCATCGGGCAAAAATTGTTGTTGGTCTATTGGAGTTCATAATGGCAGTATACCAGTATAGAAATGCAGGGGAGTTTTATATCTGCCATTTAGATGAGTCAGTTGTGGGATACACACGTCGCTATGACATGAGATTTTTAGGAGTGTCCCAGTTGCTTCCAAAGCAGACATTTATGAAGGTGATGCAGCTTCGCCAGTGTTTTTCAGACGAGGACTGTTTTTACTCAAAAACCTGCAGCTCAAAATGTGACATTTCACAGCACACTTGCTCAGGGAGTCTCATCAAACCTAATCTTTTTCATGCCTGTCAGTTACTCAGAGAATATCTGTTGTATGACTTAGTGGGTGGCGAGAGAGTGGAGCTCTCAGGGATGCTGCGCACGTGTCGGGCTCTTGACAACAATAAGACGTCTGCTGACTTAGATCATGCAGTGGTACTCAATAATATGAAAACATGGCTGTGGAACAAAATACAGAACAAAGTTTCTTGATATTTTGTGGTGCTGATTATTCTCTGTGAGGACTTTTTTTTTTTAGAATTTTAGGTGATTTTCTAGTCACTGTTTATTGTCTTCCAGTTTTGTTTCTTTTTATGATTTTTTAAAATCAAAGACATTTAAAGAAATTAATTTTAAACTTTACCTACACATCTTATAGTTTGATTATTGTAGTGACGCAAACAATTTTTGATTGTGATAAACTAATCATAAATTTGTGCCATAGTGATGACATATCTCAGTAAACATGCTGATTTGCATGATTATCTATATTCATGTAAATAAAANAAGAGGGACACCTTCCTCAGCATAGTGGGAGGAGTGCGAGACGGGGACACATTCAACATGCCCACCAAAGGAACAAGCATGGAGAGTTTTCGCCTCATGGTCAGTTCATTAGTAGTCAGCAGACTGGGCGGTGATGACCATCTGGAGTTAGTGACCAGAATACTGGACAGGGCAGATGTTAATATGGATGGGAAGGTATATGGAATTAAGCTGAATCATTAGTGAATAGATACATGAAGGGAAGAGTCATAGAAAAATTCATACTTAATGAGAAGAGATCTCTCACTGCCTGGTGGACATGATTCTTGTACAAACTTGTGGTTAGGGAAGTAGTGATATGTTACATGGTTATAAGTGTCTGCCAGTTTTGTTTTCTTATGCTTGGTGTTTACATACAGACATTGTAAATGACTTTTGTCCATTTTAGCATGTATTTTGATAATATTCACCCCATGTGTGAAAAACATTAATTTTGTTTTACTACAAATATACTTAAGGGTTTATTAAGTGAAAATGTGTGTTTCTTTCAGAATCAACATGATTTTTTTAATTTTTTTATTTTTTAAGAAAAGTGATTGGTGTTTGGTTTTTGTTGTAGGTATTGTGTATGGCAAAGTTTGCCACATAAATGCCAGTATTTTTGTTTCACTTTAATTTTACTGAATCAGTAGCACTGACTAAAATACTGCCTCCTTTTCAGGTGTCACTTGCAGAAGCCAAAAGTATATGGAGTCTTCTACAGAACAGCGATTTCTTCATTTCCTTCATTTTTCAAAACACAGAATTTGTGCCCAAAATCCAGAAATTCTGTGGCAATATATTTGCTGTAGAAGAAGTTCCCCACACATATTTATATGACAAGGATAACCCATCATATCTGAGGTGGATATTTGCTAACTCATATCAGTGGCTACAACCAAGCTGGCACCATCGGGCAAAAATTGTTGTTGGTCTATTGGAGTTCATAATGGCAGTATACCAGTATAGAAATGCAGGGGAGTTTTATATCTGCCATTTAGATGAGTCAGTTGTGGGATACACACGTCGCTATGACATGAGATTTTTAGGAGTGTCCCAGTTGCTTCCAAAGCAGACATTTATGAAGGTGATGCAGCTTCGCCAGTGTTTTTCAGACGAGGACTGTTTTTACTCAAAAACCTGCAGCTCAAAATGTGACATTTCACAGCACACTTGCTCAGGGAGTCTCATCAAACCTAATCTTTTTCATGCCTGTCAGTTACTCAGAGAATATCTGTTGTATGACTTAGTGGGTGGCGAGAGAGTGGAGCTCTCAGGGATGCTGCGCACGTGTCGGGCTCTTGACAACAATAAGACGTCTGCTGACTTAGATCATGCAGTGGTACTCAATAATATGAAAACATGGCTGTGGAACAAAATACAGAACAAAGTTTCTTGATATTTTGTGGTGCTGATTATTCTCTGTGAGGACTTTTTTTTTTAGAATTTTAGGTGATTTTCTAGTCACTGTTTATTGTCTTCCAGTTTTGTTTCTTTTTATGATTTTTTAAAATCAAAGACATTTAAAGAAATTAATTTTAAACTTTACCTACACATCTTATAGTTTGATTATTGTAGTGACGCAAACAATTTTTGATTGTGATAAACTAATCATAAATTTGTGCCATAGTGATGACATATCTCAGTAAACATGCTGATTTGCATGATTATCTATATTCATGTAAATAAAAGGAAGAGGGTCTATTTTTTAAACTTGTAGACTTCTGAATAACAACTGAGAACCATTGAAAACCAAATGTGAGAAACAGTTATTGCCAATCGTATGACCAAAATCACTTATCTCTTTCCTCATTCAAAATTGAGATCTCTGTGTGATCTACATACGGACAGCTCATATCTCTATTTTTTCGGAGTCCATATGTTGTTTTATTTTATCAAGGCCCATTGAAAAAGGGTCAAAGTGCCATGCCTGGTAGGCAGAAATGTGTGTATAGTCTCTCTTTAAGTGCTTAGATATTTACTTTTTATCATCATTATTAATATACTATACTATACTTGTAAGGAAGGCCGCAAATAAGTCAGCATTAAAGTTTTTTTTTCTATCCAGGGGATTGTGAGATTTATTTAAGATTGTATATTTGTGACAATCACGGCTAGATCCAGCATTAATATTATGATATTAATTGTGTTGTGTGTGTTTTTTATTTTTATTTTATTTATTTTTTTTATTCCCCTTTGTCCAACTGGGTTAGATATGCTGAGCATTTTGCAATACTTCATTGGTCCTTAGATAACTCATGAATACAAATGCAGGGTAAATGAACTTTTTATTTACAAATCAGACTGGTGTAGACTTATTAATTGATTCTGTTGATGTTGCTTATTATGGAAACGAATGCCTTTGATAGCAGTGTATTGAATGGCACTCAGTTTTGCTGCTGGTCCCTTTTTTTTTTTTTGGAAGGGAGGGGAGGGGCAGAGGCAAGGCAGTGTTGAAGAGAAAAGCAGATAACCATGTCATATTAATACCATCAGTGCTATCTTGGTTTCAAAAGGCAAATCATTGCTGCTGTGTGCCATTTTGGTTCTTAACATTGTATAATGTTATGCTGCTCCATTGGGAAGTCTATCATTGAGAAAATACAGATATACCTGCATATACTCTTAGAATGTGCTTCTTTCTTTGAAGTATTTGTATAAAAACTAAGTAGTACTCATAAAAATGTTCTTTGAATACCAGTATTCAGCTTGGATAGTGATTGTTTTCAGGTTAATTTCTCCATGTTTTTCTGGTTGACACTGTTGAAATGTAATTGAACTTGTTTTATCTAGATTCCTTATATATATTTGGTGTCCAGATGCATGGTTATATTGTTAGAGAGATGAAAAGGTGCTATCTGTAGTTCAGAAAAGCATCTGTTATAAAAACATCTGTTGTTATTTAGTCTGCATAGTTCGTGTGTGTCAGAGTATGGTTATAAATAATATGTATATCAATGTTATTTTGAGTAGAATTTCAATAATTAGTACTCGATGTTGTCTTTAGTCTCCAGTAATTGTTATATGTAAAAGAAACCATTTAAATTTTTTTTTTGTGGAACTATGTGAATGTTATTTTGTAAAATATTGATTCGTTTTGTTTGAAATTTATTTATTTGCCCATGTTTTTCTTTTATTTTTATGACGATGTAGTCAAGAGAAATCGTGAATGCTTACCCACTCCAAGTTAAAACCAAGGACTGTACTTCCAATTTTGACGCACAATGGTTTTTCTCTACTTCAATTTTTCCAAATGATTAAAATATTAATAAAGTAATAATAGATCATGCAAGGATTTGCTTTTGATTTTCACAATCTCGTGTTCCGATTTAGCTGCTTGAGTCACAAAGTGAAAGGACAAATATATGTGCACGGAGCACAATTTGAAAGTTATGACTACGTCTTTAATATTTTCCTCCTTTTGTCGGATCTCAGCCCAATACTTAATTCAATTAAAACGCTCCTTGGACACTTCAAGGGAATTCAAAGTTTTTTTTAATTCATAAATTATGTTTAGAACAAAATGTCAAGATTTCGCCATTATGAGTGCGTGATCTCGAGTTTACGTATTCGTTTTACAACTATTAGTTGTTGTTAAACACAGTAATAAAGTTTTGAGGCCTGGCATAAGATAGTCAGGTAGTGGTAGACGGGCACATGGCTCATATTTCTCTAATAAAATGGACTAGCCCCTAAATTTAGGAGGGCAAATTATGTTTTTCATGTTTAATCATTCTGTATATAGGATGTTTATTTATTTATTTTATTTTATTTTTGCAAGCACAACTTCGGAAGCATGCATGTTACCACTGGAAGATTCAGTATTTTGCGTCAGTGTAAAGGGTTCAGTATAATATATGTAGGGGGCAGATACGAAAAATAGTTTATGTACCTCCTCTCCCTCGTTATTCTCTTTTTGAGAAGGTGAAGGGGAGAACGGGGCACCTGAGTAATTAAGTGCCCTCCCTGGATCAACCAAAGGTCACCTGTGCTCACTTAAAACACGTTTTATTGCTTTACTTTAACCTTTCTTAGTGTTGTGTTAGAGGAAAATGTTTTTAAAATGCAATAAAAAGAAAAAACAGCTCAATTTGTGTCCACAATCAAAAACTATTGAATACATTAATAAAATTGGCTAGTTTGACAAAGAAAGATGGTGTGTGTTATCTGCCTACGTTTAATTTATTCCAAAAAATTGCTGTTAAATACGATCTGACCTGAGAGTCCACGCTAATGGTCAGTATATTTTTTTAAGTGACACTTCTCAACAACTATGACATAATGGTCACGTGAACCTAGGCCGTCAAAATTGACGGTGAATCATTGGCGGGTCCAGCATGTCAAAGGCTAATAATACGCTAACATATTTTAGATATTAAAAAATGAAATAGTTAATAACATGCTTACATATTGTAGATATTGATAAAAATTAAAAAGTTGACTTCAAAAAGTTAAAATTAATGCAAATCCAAGAAAATAAATTGCAGCTTCACATGGAAGCGATAGTTTAAACAGCTATTTCTGTGGTCTAGTTAAAACATGAAGCAAGATGCGTCAATGGATTTTCTAAATCCTTCAATGGTCGGATAAGAAATATCTGGTCGGATTTTGATGGAACACCTGATAATCAGATTGTGTATGGCTTCCGCCTACTGACTGTCCTTGGTAGCTGTCCCTAATCTCGGGCGCGTATATACTAGGCGTATCTGGAACGCATCTGTTCAGAGTTTAATTGCTAATGCTTCTGTTGAACAATGTTTGAAATTCGATTAAAAGTACTTTTGAAATTTTAATTGGCTAATTGCTCTCATGTTTAGGCCGAGAAAACTAGGTCCATGTAACTTACTGCACTCCACAAATACTTCATTTTTGTGCCCTTTCATTGAGGTAAGGCGACAAAACTGTAGATCAGTCTGACCTAACATCGGGCGTTTCCGTCTACGAGACCAAATGCTACATACTGTCCGGCTCCGTCCAGTTTATTAAAGTGGCAGTCTTTGCAAGTGAGGTCAACTTGGAAGCCATCCAACCTAGTATAGTGCGAACGCACCGTCTTGTAGTGGCGTACGTTCTTTGTAGTGCTTCTGAAAGTTGAACGTTACGTGAATTAAAGATATAATCTCCCGTTACTAATAATAATAAGAATTAGAATGATTAATTGAGAATTTTAATTTTCATTAAAAATATTAAATGATCAGGGTCGCACGCGAAGGATGAGTGAATTTCAAAAAGAAGTTTTTGAAGGCAGACCTAGAAAACACGAAAGCAGGTTGTTTGCAACGTTTGGCGTTCTCATCTTAACGCTGACTGAAGGAAAAGTAAGATACTTATGATATTCCGGTAGAAAACGAAAAAGGCAATATTCATTTTACTTTATAAAGATCACCAACATGACCAAAGTTATTCTTAAAATATCCAGGGGGAATGTGATTTACATTCATAAGCTCTCTAAACTACTGTCTAACATTCACGTCAAAAGGTGCAATTATCTTATTGGTGACGGGTGGCGCATGACTACGTATACGACATTTAGGGGGTTTTCCGAGATCTGGTTCAGGAGGATTACCTAGCTTACGCCACGGAATTAATCTCTGAGGGGTCCATTTAGTTTTATCAGATTCAACTTCACGTTAATTAGCCACGGGTAGTTATGAGATCAAAATGTATATCGGCTTACGAGTGCAGCAGGTGTGTCTATATAATAAACTGAATGATCTTTTCAAGGTAATCTGGAAAATACAAGACTGGGGTCTGCGTATCTTAACAGGTAGTTTGGATTATCTTCTGACACACTGACGACTTTAATCTGAATTTTGTAATTTCCAACTACTGGCATTATGTGAATGGGATTGTCATCGGCTTTTTACTCAAACTGTTGATTTCAATTGGTGACTACTTAGTTCTAGTTATCTTGAAAATACTTTTTATCTAAGATCGAAAAGTACAAAGAGGTTGTACCCGGGAAACGATTTACGTCACCGACAGTCCCATTCACAGTATGGGGAGGGGTTTATTTCAGATTTGCTACCATCTGGGTGTTATATAAAAATAATATTTTTTTAAAGGTGCACAATATATTACAGCTCACACTATGTTCAACTCACGAAGAGGATGATGATTCAAACAAAAAAACAATGTTAGCCTCTAACTCTTTGAACTTTGTTGCATAATGTACTAAGTTGTTAGAAAGAATCTCCAAATGCTATAGTAAAGGTAAATTAAACGACATTCATAGTCTATTAAAAACCACAACACTTAAGACAAAGAATATAAAAAGGTAGACTTCAAGCATCACACTATATTAGGATTTTATGCACACTTTTGCTTGGAATCAACATTTAGATCTTGAGGATGCGCGTGGAGATCCTATTTATAGTAAATTATATATCCTTGTCTTCATTGTGTATCTGACACTCAGGACGAATAAAGTGTCTTTGAAGTCCTTAAATAGACAAAACGGAAATAACCATTGGAATTCAATGGAAAATGACAAGTTGAGATCAATTGAAATTCATATAAAAGTGGTTATTTAGGTGAAAAAGGGCTTCCGTCTCACGACCTTTGACAAGAACATCTTGCATTATTATGCTCTCACATGTGTTCGGAAATACTTTTACAGCTTGGCTAGCATTTGGGAGATCTGACTAATACGAATAAACTACCCTCTACCAGAGCGACAGATTGGATTTTCGCAGATATTCAGTCATTTTGGTCTGGATTTTTCCGTTTTTCCCTATATAATCTGCCACCCTGGTAGAGGGTGCAAATAAACCGTCATATGTTAAAAATGAATCCAATTGTTAATGTTAACTTAAGGAAATAAAATTTAAACGATATATTCACAGGACATTACGCAGAATATTAGACACGAAATGGTTGTTCAGATGCATAATTGCTGGTACTTCTAAAGATGTATGTGAAAAACCGAAACTGAAACAATTTAACAATAACGATGTGTGTAGATTTCCAAACCATTAGTTAAAGTTTTTGGATAGAAATAAAGGACTGGATTAAAGGAAAATACAATTTTATTTTAGTTTTAGATTTCCTGGTGTGATTTTAGGTTAAGTTAAGATATACCTATCCCCATGCTTCAAGGTAAACATTTCAGAATTTGAAAATGTATCATTGTAAAAATTAAACCAACGGCGACACATAAAAATATTATCCTCTTTTTGACCAAAGTACAATTATTTTGTCAATTATATAAAATGAGAGTAGGAGTTTATGCGTGTATCTGTAATTGTTCTGTCCGTGCACTGATTTACTGATTTTTAGTATCGGCAAAATATTTTACGGACAAGGAAATGAGTGTGTTGGTCTATTCAGTTAATATGCAAAAGGAAATAAGTCACATTTTCTTATATTAGAGAAAAGCCATAAGGACGTGTTTTGACCTCTATAACACTGAACAAGCAGGCATTTCCGATTTACCTGTAGATATAGGCCTACTAGTATCTATTCAGAGACATGTTACAAGTGACATGCAGTGCAAAAGATTTTCCGTTTATTCATCTCTTAAAGCAGACTGACAGCCTGTCCAGCGTAAATAACAAAGTGCACGCGCTTGTGTGTGTGTGTGTGTGTGTGTGTGTGTGTGTGTGTGTGTGTGTGAAAAAGAGAGAGAGAGAGGCGGTGCGTTAATTTAGGGAGAGGTCACGTGACTAGACCCCCTCTCTCTTTTCCTCTAAAGTCGCCTCGTAATCGATATCTCCCAGTTTACAAAAACGACTCGGAAAAAAGGAAAAAAGAAAAAAAGCAGCATAAGGCCAATCACAACGTTGAAAATAATCAGTGGAAAACAGACTACCAGCCCGGGTTAGCTGTAGGCCTGTAGCCCCATTACATTGCATAGATACGACGCACTAGTCCCGGTATATCTAATATCAGATCTTGGCTGCATTAACAAACGATACAGGCCCGTAGCCAATATTTTCAAAAGGGGAGTTCGTTTTCTGATAAAGTGGACCTTTTATCATGAAACCTTCATGTGCCTAGATAAAATTTTACACAGAAGGGACCTTTTCCTGGCATTACCCTCCCCCCCCCCCCCCCCCCCGGCTGCGAGCCTGCAATATATAACTAATACAAATGTATAGGTAAAGAAATATCAATATTTCTCATTAGGCCATGTTCCTTGATCGTTAGTGTTATGTAAAGAATATCCCATTACCATAAAGTTTCTATGAGGCCTATTGATTCCAAAGGTTTTCAGGAGCATATACTTTATTATTTATCATTATTTATCATTTTTTATCAAAGTATGAAAAACGTGATTAACTAAAACGTAATTGTACTAAAATAATAATTTCAAAAAATCATTTCCCCTCATTTTACTTCATTATACATACAACCGATCCCAAGGAATACATCCTTTCTGCTTGCCAGGATTTGATGACAAACTTCCTTGGTTAAAACACAATGGGCCGTTCAATTAATATGGGAATATCTGAAGTTAAAGATTAATGGAAATATTTCTTTTATTTTAAGCGCAATGGAAAACAAAATAGAAATAGAAAACAGATCCAATAAAATAAATAGTTGTAAAAACTTCGCAAAAGAACTTTGTCGACTGGGATATCATCTTTGTTATCGTGTCAGTGCATGCAGATTTTCACTCGTTTTCATTTTAATGTTACTTCTCACATTAGTGAACAAAATCTATGGGTTTCTTTGGAAGTGATACAGTATTTTGCCGTGGGTTGGCTGGCGAAATCACCCGAGTTTGGGTCGCTCCAGACCTCTCCATAATTTAATAGCAGTGCCACAACGTTTTACCCAGGTCTAATAACAGGTTTCGATAGACTTAACAAATGATATAGATACTGTTAAGGCACACGGAACAACCAAACTGTTTTAGGCTTGTAGTCACACCTTCGCAAATTACGGCTTTTTCATATGGCACGAAATCCATTCATTCATACCAACCACTCATGGCGCTGACGTCGATGTCACGTGACCCATATGGCCTGAATCACAGCACGCTATTTCATTGTTGCTACGATAAGTACAGAGTAAGAGGATTATTACGCTGACTTCACACGAGGCCGTGAAACTTATAAGAATCAGAGTTCCTTCAGAAAGTCCAGCTACGGAAAGAATATAACCTCCCAGACATACTGACGTGAAACTGGAACGGACGATGAAGGGAAATGTTTTGGTTATCATAGTGATTCTCACGGCAGTCGCCGTTATCGCGTTCAACAGACTTCAAGCAGTGATGGATCGTTTCGCGAAGTCAAAGGGAGAGATTTTACAATCGTTTTATCACGATTTCTCACACATTAAGCTCGAAAACATTCCCTGGGTGAGTGTACTCTGCGGAAGTTGTGTTCTCTACATTTGTTATTACTTGTACTATAAACTGTTCACGCCGCTGGATCTTGTCAAGGATTTGAGCGATGTCGGCTACGCTACGAACAGCGGCAGTGAGGGACGTAGTAAACGGGAAGTGGCGAACCATGTGCGGCGCTTAAGAAAAATTGGAGATATTCCCCCAGTGTACCCCAATGGCTGGTTTGCGTTGATGGAGGCGCACCGATTGAAAAAAGGCGAAATTGAACATGTAGTTGCTCTTGGTAAGTGATAAGTCCTATTTATTTTTAANCCCAAGGAATACATCCTTTCTGCTTGCCAGGATTTGATGACAAACTTCCTTGGTTAAAACACAATGGGCCGTTCAATTAATATGGGAATATCTGAAGTTAAAGATTAATGGAAATATTTCTTTTATTTTAAGCGCAATGGAAAACAAAATAGAAATAGAAAACAGGTCCAATAAAATAAATAGTTGTAAAAACTTCGCAAAAGAACTTTGTCGACTGGGATATCATCTTTGTTATCGTGTCAGTGCATGCAGATTTTCACTCGTTTTCATTTTAATGTTACTTCTCACATTAGTGAACAAAATCTATGGGTTTCTTTGGAAGTGATACAGTATTTTGATTTATGCCGTGGGTTGGCTGGCGAAATCACCCGAGTTTGGGCCGCTCCAGACCTCTCCATAATTTAATAGCAGTGCCACAACGTTTTACCCAGGTCTAATAACAGGTTTCGATAGACTTAACAAATGATATAGATACTGTTAAGGCACACGGACCAACCAAACTGTTTTAGGCTTGTAGTCACACCTTCGCAAATTACGGCTTTTTCATATGGCACGAAATCCATTCATTCATACCAACCACTCATGGCGCTGACGTCGATGTCACGTGACCCATATGGCCTGAATCACAGCACGCTATTTCATTGTTGCTACGATAAGTACAGAGTAAGAGGATTATTACGCTGACTTCACACGAGGCCGTGAAACTTATAAGAATCAGAGTTCGTCCAGCTACGGAAAGAATATAACCTCCCAGACATTCTGACGTGAAACTGGAACGGACGATGAAGGGAAATGTTTTGGTTATCATAGTGATTCTCACGGCAGTCGCCGTTATCGCGTTCAACAGACTTCAAGCAGTGATGGATCGTTTCGCGAAGTCAAAGGGAGAGATTTTACAATCGTTTTATCACGATTTCTCACACATTAAGCTCGAAAACATTCCCTGGGTGAGTGTACTCTGCGGAAGTTGTGTTCTCTACATTTGTTATTACTTGTACTATAAACTGTTCACGCCGCTGGATCTTGTCAAGGATTTGAGCGATGTCGGCTACGCTACGAACAGCGGCAGTGAGGGACGTAGTAAACGGGAAGTGGCGAACCATGTGCGGCGCTTAAGAAAAATTGGAGATATTCCCCCAGTGTACCCCAATGGCTGGTTTGCGTTGATGGAGGCGCACCGATTGAAAAAAGGCGAAATTGAACATGTAGTTGCTCTTGGTAAGTGATAAGTCCTATTTACTTTTTAAGAGATTAAACTTGATATCAATTAATTATTATACGGCGCCCCAAAGAGAGAGAACCAAGTGGAAATGGAACGTTGGTGTGATAGCCCAGTCTGTTTTGTAAAGAATTTTCTCGTTAACTCGGCATTTATTTAAAAAGGCCACATCGCCAGCTAGCCAAACAGGTGTCTTGCTGGTAGAGATTCGACGTCGACAGTTCTATATAAAACCCCTATAAAAGCTGTCTCTCTTCCTCTTCTTATATTTTTTCTTGCCGGCATTTCAGGTAAAAAAATGCCCTTACTGCCCCAAATATCATATTGATATGAGTATTTTGGTAACAGACTAATTAATTATTAATTAATAATTATTGTCCCACTGTCGGACTAATCAATCGAACAATATAATTGTCTAGTAGCTGTGTCGTAGTTCAGAAGCTCTCGATCGGTTCAATACATTCTTGTCTGTTAACAAATGTCCCAAATTTATAATCATAATATTTGGAAACGCGTTCCATTATCTGCGCTATGCCACAGGTGTTCACAAAATGTAGTGAAAAAAAGAAAAGAAAAAGAAAACTGACATCTGATTTACATTGATTTAACGTAGGCTTATTTTTTAATTCTGCTTGGCGTTAGAATTAAGATATTTTGTACGAGTACACTCAATGACGCATTTGGTTGAGCGAGTAATCGAAACATAAACTGTATGCTAGTATTGAGAACACGTGCAGCCGACGTTTATGTGGGCACTGAATGTAAACAATACGGCCATACATAATCACCCATTGTATTACTGCGGAATGGAGTATCGAACAATATGTAGGGTGGGCTTTTCATCATGTACGTCTGTTTCTGTGATTTCACTACCGCCAGACAGCATTCAATCGCAGAAATTGAGCAGCGATATAGGCCTAGTAAATGGCATGGGATCTTAGAGGGCAAAAAGCAAGATTAAAAAATTCGTAAAGTAGAGCACTTACCGTATATCAGTCATTCCTGGCTGATGGCTCTTTCCGCGTTCCAGCGAATGAGAAACTGTTAGAATTAATCATTTCAGTCAAACCGTTCCATGACATCATATACTGTAGACCCAGGGCAATATTTTGAGTATTGGGTCCTAGTGTAGATATACAGGAAGTAAATTGCAATCAAAAGGTCACTCAAAAGTAAGACAGTGACAGTAACAGGCATGATAAAATCACAATAATTAACAAGGGGGAATTCGGTAATCACGGGATGTGGTTCACAGACGTAAACGCTCCACAATTATTTCAATTATATGTGACCATAATCTAAGCACCTGGCGTGTCGCAACCGTTTTGCCAAATGATTAGCCAACTTTGTATTAAAACATAGGTTTGGTATTTGAATAACAATTTAAATCAGACAACGGGGACAGGTGTCAAGGAACGGTGTAAATAGCCCCTGCTTTGGTTGTTATTTGTAAGCAAATGCATCAGTAGCAGTAAACATACTTAGGACACATTCCCAGTGAAGCCATTGTTCTGCGGAGATCGATCCAACTCCACGGGAACTCTTACTGTCAGATTAACATACTGTCAGATTTACGTACTCGTATAATCACCAGCTTTCCTTTATTCTACTCAACGCCAGGTGGAGGCGTGTTAATCTGCTAACCTGATTGCATTCAGCGAGAGTCAACGCGAATTGGGATCGATAATGTGAACTGATAGTTTCATTGTGAAAAAGCCCTTACCCTAGCAATTTACCTGCAATAGAGGTTGTGGTGAAGCGGCAGTCAAGTGTTTTTTTGTATTATTTGGTCATATAAAGCAATGGGCAGACTTTACACAACGAACCACTAAAACCTGTTTGTTCTTCGTGACTATTTCATCCGTTTGCCTCTCTTTACAATTACATAATTTTCTAAGTTTCGAAAATAAATCGACAGATTTCGTGATCGTGTGCGGCGCTGGAGGAATAGGGGTGGGTCACCCTGGGTTTCATATGTGTCTGGGGTCTCATTGCTACATCAGCACTAGTTTCCACTGAAATACAGGGTGGAAAGGTGGGATATAATAGGCCCTACATCATATCGTATCAATCGACTGCAGCAAGGCAATATTGGGTCGGAAATAATCAATACAATCACTTAACTTAAGCTTTATTAGTAACAGTGTTTTGATAATTGATGAGTGTTGATAGATTAGCAATTAATCTAAAAGGCAAATAAATCTTGAGGGATTTCTCATTGTTAAATTTTAGATAACATGAATGTATTCAATCCAGTAACGTTTGTTATATAGTCTATCTGAAGCGTTTATAAAGGAATCTTTAAATTTGTTTGAGTTTGAAGATTTTTAAATTTAAAACAGTAGTCCAATAATTGCTAATATGAAAAAGTGACATATACCTACGTACACTGAAATAGGAGAGATAGAGGTAGCAAGAGAGGGGAAGGGGGTTATCAGGGGCGGATCCAGAGATATTTTCTGACAGTCTTCCAAATTATCTTTGTTGACCCATCCTCATTTTTGACCGTCTTCCGACAGAAAAAGTTAGATACCCGTCTATATAAAATCTTGAAAAGACTTGAAATTCTGACCGTCTTCCGGAAGACCCAGAAGACGGCCTAAATCCGCCCCTGGTTATGGAGGGGGTTGATTCGATGTTGGCTGATTTTTTAAAAATCTGCAACAGTTCTCTGTTTCTCTGCCTGGTTGACAGGTGACAAGGGAATAGCGAGGCACGAGAGTGACAACTTTCCAGGTGTAATTATCTCATGAACATGATAATTATACAACAATTATGGCCTTCTGCTGAGAGAAGACCCCTGTAATTGTTTTCCTGTGTTGCACTTTTCTCCATAATGGTCGAAAATAGACCGTTTAAACGTGGATCCATCATGTGTTATGAGTCCAAGGTTTGGACAGGAGAGAGAGAGAGAGAGAGAGAGAGAGAGAGAGAGAGAGAGGAAAGCCGTACGGTTGCATTAAGTGCCAATATTCAGCGTGGTCAAGCTTGTATTTGATTCAAATAAAAGGGACATGTCTCTGTTTATATTTTGGAATTGAAACAATTAGATTAAAACCCAGAACAAGAAGTGCCTTTTCATGTTGGGTATTTTTGTTGGTTTTAATTGGCCAAATGTAAACATTTTTGTTGTGAAAAATCTATAAATGATTCACGATCAACTCCTGTCGCGGGTGTGCAGGAAACTCTCATCAGGCCCATATGTGCGGG